AAATGTTCTTTTGAACATTTAACCCTTAGTTTCCCCATTCAAATTGTATAACAAAAAAACAACTTTTGGTTGTAAGTTTATGTCGTCTAGCAAACCCATATTCTCAATTTTTAGATAATTGTTTAGACTATCATTGTTTAGATCTAATTTAGTGTAATATATTGATGAGGTCATTGAAATGGGGAATTTAATATTCATGCCAGTGTTAAAGCTAACAGCTTAAAGGCAGTATTCAATGCTATTTTAGACTTGATTGACTTTGTTGAAAATGTGCACAGTCTCATGCATCACCATCTTCACACTCTGGACCTTGTGCTAACATATGGCATTGTTTGAAGTGAAATAACAATATTGCAAAACAAAGAAAAGCATATTTTTCATCATTAAGGACTAAGAAGTCAAGCCTTCCAGTTTTATTACATGACAAGATAGTGCTGAGCAATGATGCTTTTCCTTTTTTAAAGATGAATTTATTTTAACGAGCCACAACAAAACACAATGCTGCCAAAAAATTTGAAATAAAAAAATATCTTAAATAGTGCTCAGACATAGTACTACACATTTTGTTTCATTTTTGGATTACAAAAGTACCTTTGAAAGTAATTTAATTTGATGAAGACAACATTTGGGGAGCTAAAACATGTCAAAGCAACAGATTGTGTCCTGATGAAAATAAACCTTACATTTTTTTCACAATTTTTATGTCTGCCATAAACCCACAAACATAAGCTGACATTGATAATCCATTGCTCAAATATTCCTCATGCTTAAGAGCCTAAATAAGTTATCCAAAAAAGTGCTTCATTGATGTTGGCAGAACAATTAACATCTGTGTTTTCTTTTAAATCCAGCTGCTTGCTACTGTCATAGATCATATGTCATTACTTCATGGAAGGGTCTTTTTTAGTTCATCATGACTTGGATGAAGGTGAATGTCTGACCCTCAGTTTGTGTTTTGTCCTTCAGTGTGTGCACACGCTCTTTTCTCTGCTCCCTGCTGCTTGCACTTTCTGGTCCTTTTATCTTCTTTTTATCTCTTAACAAAACTACAGAAAGTTGGATTTAGTTATTTGATTTATTTTCTTTTATTTCTTTTTAAATATTTTTTTATTTTTTATTTTTCCCCGAAGTGAAACAAAAACGGGATGTTCTCACAACAAATGATAGGAGTAAACCTGCTGGAAATGTTGGAATTCGGTTACAAAACAGATTTGCTCCAGGCCACAGGGCCAAGGACCCTGATATTATGCAATGGATCTATACGTGGGATTAAACATTTCTGTAACAAGAAAAACACAGAGGTGCTGATTTATAACCCTTCGAACTATGGCCTGGTGTCTAATGTATCAGACATCCTTCCAGAGATCATGAAAAAACGCCCGACCTTGGAAAAACTCATCATACAAGCTGAAGCCTTGGGCAACGCAGCCCTGAGAAAATCAGAAATACTGAAAGAGGATTACATTCGTCTGCTGAATTTAGTTGATGGTCTTAATGTAGGGTGACCATATTTTCATTTGGGAAAACCAGGACACCTTGGAGCGGGGGGGAAT